CCCTTGAGCGAAGGAATTTTTTTTCCGGTTTTAAGTTATACGCAGATGGGGATTTCCCTGTTGCTTAATAGGCATTTGAAACTGGACAAAATAGTGGAAAAAGTTATTTTATATTTTATTGTTTTTAGGAAATACCCAGCATTACCAAGAGAATTGACAAGATTATCTAATTTAGACCTTTTCCATGCCTAAACTTCATGGTTCACGTTCAAGTTTTATGTAATCTTAAGTAAAAGGGAGGGATTGTTTCAGCAGGTCTCTTTGGATTTTTTTTTTCTTCTCTGCAGAATATTGCAGCCATAGAAACAAAACAGAACAGGGAAGATTTTTCTCTCTTCTTGGGCTTTTTCCAGTTGTAGTTTTCCCGTGCTTGTGAACTTCTGCCCTCAAGTACTTAAATTCAGAAATGCTTCTTTTATCACCTTCCTCCTGCTTGATGTTACCTTTTATTGTCCAATCTCCCTGAGCTTGGAAGCATCCCATTTTGAATTTTTTTTCCCATTAGGCCTGCATATTCTTTATACATTCTCTTAGAGGAACTGCTGAGAAAGCATATAGGTAAACATTTGTGGGTTTGAGGGGCTTAGTTCCCTGTGGAAGAACTTAGAGACAACTTGCTTTTATTAGCCTGTGAATATTTTCAGTTGGATAGTTAGCAAATAATGATTACTGACCAGGATCCATTTTCTTAGATTTTTGTCCTGTCCAGCCATTAAAATAGTTCAATGATTTGGCCTAAGTGTCTGAATGCATTTTTAAAAAATTATGTGGTATATGCTGTCCTCTGGCATGCAGATGCTAGGAAGATTTAATTATGAGATACAATTGGTCTCTCAAACTGTTCGACTCACCACATATCTTGCCTGCATAATTGGAGAAAACCAGCAAATGGGCGCACAGGCAAAATACGTTGGACTTTCATTAGTGGACATACATTGAAAACTACCATGGCAAAATGCTTCATCCAACTGCAGAGGGTTTATTTTTTTTTTACGTTGAAGACTCATTTGAATTGTTTGGTGTGTCTCACTTATTGCCTAATGAAAGGGAAAACCTGCGTGTGCCTCTTCTTTTCTCTCCAGAGTATGATAAACCCTGACCCTTTTTGCACATCAGAAGATAAGATGGAAAGACTTAAAGAAGAACTGAAGGAATGGAAGGCAAGTTCTATACAGCACATAGAATCGTGGAAATTAGCTGAAAGATACTTGGAAGACCTTTAGTCCGTCCTTGTAAAACCAAATGAACCCTCCCCCGATTATAACATATTTGTCTACCTTGTTCTCTATTCTTCAGTGGTACATGCTTGTGTTGATCTCAGTGGTAACTACGCTTGTAAGTCTAAGAGAAATGTTTATGCAAAGCATTACAAATAAATAAATACAAAGGGCTTACTTAAGGTTTCGTTTGTTCCTGTGGAAGAAAAATAATTTTTAAATCTTCTTTTTACTATCCAGGAAAGAGTTGAAAAAGCTGTAAAAGCAAAAGATGACCTTCTTCTCTGTAAAATAAGTGCTGATGAAGAGTATGTTAAAGCAGAGCAGGAGCTGATAAAGCTAAAGGACTTCCAAGAGAAGCAGCGTAAGGACATTATTCTGTCTAGGGACACCCATAAGGTATGGAGAAGGCTCGCTCATAGCTGTTAGTATTTGGGGAGTTGTGAAGGAGGTGTTGATTAGAGAATCCAAGAGTAATATTTCCTTTTCAGTTTATTGGCTTTACGGGTTTGCAGACTGTATGACTAGAATGTTCTACACATAGTTTTTCAGTGGCAGATTAAGAACCAGTGCAATAAAATAAGTCTTACGGTAATGTTGGAAGAGTGAAGGCAAAACTGGGACCTATTTTGTATAGAAAATGAAGACTGACAAAACCAGTCTCCTCTTCCAAGATTCTCCGCTAACCGATGTCAGTTTTGTGTGATGAAGCTAAAATTGAATGGGTCGATTCCACTGCTTTCTCAACGCGCAGCCCGTCTTCTAAGATGTTACAGCACCCAAGGGATTAGCGTTACTTAAGTGACAATGAGCTGGGTAAGAGCCAGAACCTGTTTGAAGAGGGGTCTTCGTTCTAAAACTAATTGGGTCTAGAACTAATTGGTTCATTACCTCAGTGTGCCGCGTGCAGTCGTTGGTGCAGTAATAGGGTAAGTTTCCATAGGCTGTCAAGGAGGTGGTTTCAGTGAAGTTTGGTTTGGCCTGTAAATCACTGATGAGAAATCATAGCTTGAGTATTACAAGCTATTAAAATATAATAGCTTAAGGTTAAGTACATTCAAGTTGGTGTGAGATTTTCTGAAAGTTGGTTTTGGTTCTCCCATCATAAATGTTTGGATTTTACAGCCAGAAGAGGTCATTATCATCATCTGGCTTTTCTTTTACATTATCTTCAGCTGATGGGAACGGGTCTAAATGTCTCGTGTGGTTAATGACTTTAAAGGAGCCATCTCCTAATTGTGGGTGGCTGGAGCTGACTACATCTGCTGTGTTCCCTTCTCATTCTGTAGTGTTGCCTGCCCAGGGAACACTGGATTTAGTTACGTGGGCTTTGTGCCCATTTAGGATTCAGTGGTGTGGAGGAAGCACGTAGCAGACAGGAGGCAGGAGAGGCGTCCCCTCCTCCTTGCTGAAGAAGGATAAATAGGGAAGAGTAGCAGTGTGTCAGAAACTGTCCTCACCTGGTAAACTTCTCAGAAAAGGGCATTACAGTTACTAAGATCACACGTGGTACAAAAAATGAAGTGTTTGTGTGTTGACATAGGCTCTGACCTTGCATGTATAAGGAACTGACATAACTATGGGAAGCGCTGTGCAGTTTCTGGTACGCTCTATGTGCTTGGAAACACTCGTTTCAAAAACCTTCTTACTGTAATTTGACTGAAACTGCTCCTCGGTGAGTGAATTAACCTTGCGGATAGTTAAAGCTATACAAAAAATGTATCATGCGTGGCTGTCGTGTAGAATAATTAAAAGTTGAAACAGTTTCTAATGGCTACAGATTTTGCTGAAATGTATTTTTGTCTTCTATGTGTTTAATTTTGCATTTAATACTTTTTGGGCTGTAGAGAGAGCTCTACATACTAAACCAAGAAAACGCTGAGCTGATGAGAGAGATTGAAAGGATCAAAGAAGAGCTCGCAAAATATAGTTCAGTGCTTTCGCAGGAGCATCAGGTAAAGTTTGAAATATTTTCTCTTTTGGAAGGGCACATTTTTATTTTGTCAATTCTAGACCATTTGGGCCAGTTCAGCAGTTGAACCTCTATTGATTTCAATATAAAATATAGCTTGAGGTTTTATTTTCTTATTTTATCTGGCAAGATAGTGTGAGGAAGGCTAAGGATGTGGAAACAAATCCAGATATGTGAGATACTGAAAACATGAGAGGAATGAAGAAAAGCAGAAAATTATTAAATGGAAGACACCGGAATAAAACACACACATAGCATTAGTAATTTTCAAGTACTCTCATTTTATATTTCTTGGGTAAGGGGATGGAAGAAAGGGAGTATGTCCATTATATGGCAAATGTAGCATTTGTTTTAGCCTATATTGAGCTTGACTTGATTATAGTCTCTCTCATGTTACTCCAAATCAGAAATAACTCAATTTGCAGCCAGATAAATATTAGTGACACTAAATAGATTTAAAGTCAGGATCCAAAGTGTCTTTTGGTAAAACAGCTGCAGATGCTGAGGTGTTCAGAAATTGGAACTTCCCTTGCGGAGATTTCAGCTTTTAAAAACCCGTTTTCATTCCGAATTGGTACAAACCCAAATATTTTGGGGAATGTACAGTAAAATGAAAACTGTGATCATATTTTGTTTATACAGAGATTGAAACTCCATCCGAGTGTTACCTTGTTTAATGTTAACAATATCACAACATTAGCTTTAGCTTTCCAAAGTACATTTCTGAGTTTCGGAGATGTCAGTTAAGCCCAGCCTCCTATGCAGTCACTGGACAGGGCAGGGCTCCTCTAGAAGGAGACGCAGTGTCAACAGGGGCCGACACCCGGTGTCTGAATTATCTTTTAGGCAGAGCGTCTCTTTGCATTGG